ACAACATAATACAATCAATCAGGGGTCGTTTTGTAGAAAAAGAGCTAGGGGAACTCATTAGCATAACTCATTAGCATATGCCACACCCCCTGACATCACCGGAAGTGTGTCATAAGGCCACACCCCCTGACATCACCGGAAGTGTGTCATAAGGCCACACACCCCGCCCCCAACGGTCCCGGCCGCCGCCGGCCTTGCAGCTCCACTGCCGAACCCTATGAGGGGCCCGGCGGTGGACCTGCAAGGCCGGTGGGAGTGCAAGGAAGCCTCGCGAAGGCCCTCCCTGGCCCCAGGCAGGCAGGCAGGGGTGGGGAGAGGCAGGGAGGAAGCAACTTACCCTCCCTCTTCTCCTGCCTCCTCCTGGCTGAATGAGGGCCGGAAGCGGGGCGGCCGGAAGCAGGGGGCGGGTCTTCGTCATGTGCCCCGCCCCCCGTACTTCATCCGGGGGAACTGCGATCCCCCGCAATCCCGCCCGAAATGACCTCTGCAATCAATAAAATATCGGTGCTCCACTACTCGTTCCAATTCATAAATCAAGATGGTATTCTGCAGCTGTATATCAATCCAACGACCAGATATATGTCCCTGCAGCCCTATTATCTGCCAGGCATGTCTCACACCCCCGATGGTACCCGCACCAGTGGTGGTAAGCAATGTTCCCTCTAAGCTATGGAGCCCTGTGAGCAAAAATGCTACTTTGTGAGCTATTGGCATTAAAGTTGTGAGCAGGAGATTTGGCTGCTGCATAAATTAGTTTGCTCTGGAGCCCTCCTTCCCGAGCCGAGACAAAAATGTGTGAGCCAGAGGCTAAAAAACTGTGAGCTAGCTCACACTAACTCAGCTTAGAGGGAACACTGGTGGTAAGGGTGCGGTGATGGAAAAAGCGTTGGTGGAATAATGGTTGTAGGCCTCTCTGCTCCTAGTCTGACACTGTGATCCCTTTTATCACCTTGGATCCTAGAGGTATTCAAGCCCTCCCTCACCTTGAGAAAGGCATCGTCTGTCATAGAGACAGGCCCATTGTGAATAGTCCGTAAGAGATCTGCTTTTTCCTGCCTATGAACTCATTTAAACAGGTTCACTGGTGAGGCAGGAATACCCTTCCGAGAAACTGTGTGCTCGTATGCCATCTTGTTGAACCCGTCCTGCTACCTGTGGAAAGGCAGCTTAGCTTTCCCCTGTGGGTGTCTGAGGGAAGTCTGATATTTGTTCTGTTTTCCCACGGAGTCGTCGGTTTTCTCGATGTACCGGAATACCATGGCAACAGGGTAGCTCCACTGCATTTCTGCTCCTCCTGACAGCTGGCATACTTGGCACGGACTTTTTTCACAGGCATAACAGGATTAAGCACTGGATTCTGCAGCTGATGAGAGAGGCGGGGCTAACAGCAGCGCTGGGCTCAGGCCGCCTTGCTCTGCCTTGGTTATCTTGGTGCTGTCAGACTAGACGGGCCACTGGTCTGAACTAGCAGGACTCCCCTTCTTCGTTGTGTTATCTTTTCTTGCTGGCCGCTGCCCGAAGGCAGGATTTTGGCCCCGGGCTGCCAGTCGCAACACAGGAGTTTGAAAAGGTCAGTGGTGCTTCGAGTCCCCTTCCTGACACTCATGTGGACAGCTGGTGTCAGAACATGTGGCACCAACTGGAATGCAGCACCTTTTTGCTATTCGTCTTCAGGCATAGCTGTCGGGTTGTTTTTTTTTAAAAACCAGAAAATTCTTTTTGGGTCTGCTCTGAGTTAGAAATGGAATCTGTCGGGCCTGTTTAAATTTCAGTACGGATCGGGAGAAAACGATACGGCAGAGCATGAGCGATACAGAGCCAAGTTCCTCAGGGAGCATGTGCTTTTGGCTGCTTCTGTGAAATATCAGAGCTGCCTCTGTGACTCTACGCAGTGGCTACCAAATCAAAGGCACTTGCAGTTGGGTGTGGCTGTCACATCTCGGCTTTCATGTGAGCAGCTAAATGGACCCTCCATGTTTAGAGGCAGTATACCTCTCATTTCCAGGTTTGGGAGAGGAGGCAAAGGCAGGGGATGGGGGATTTCCATTGACTTCCAGAGGCCACTGCTAGGGATGAAAGGATGGGTGCTTTGTCCGACCTAGAGGGATAGTTGTTACATTCTTGCGAGAAACAGACCCTCAAAGCCCGTGCGAGGAGGGTGGGGTAGAAATCACATAAATAAATAAATAAAGGTAATATATCGCTTGAGTACCAGTTGCTGGAGACAAACTACAGGTGTGAGGGGCAGTTGCATTTATGCTCTGTGCTTATGGGCTTTCTGAAAAAGAGAGATGGGAACAAACAGTCCTTTAAGTATCCTAGAACAGGGGTGTCGAACTCATTTGTTATGGGGGCCGGATTTGACATAAATGAGGCCTTGTTGGGCCAGGCCATGTGTGTCATAAAATGTAATGCCAGGTAGCGGAGATATAAACTTTATAAAGGACACAAATACAAAGGTGGGGTTTTTTTACTTAAAAAAAGTAAACTGAGAGCCAGTTTGGTGTAGTGGTTAAGTGTGCGGACTCTAATCTGGGAGAACCGGGTTTTTTACTTAAAAAAAGTAAACTGAGAGCCAGTTTGGTGTAGTGGTTAAGTGTGCGGACTCTAATCTGGGAGAACCGGGTTTGATTCCCCACTCCTCCACTTGCACCTGCTGATGTGACCTTGGGTCAGTCACAAGCTCTGGCACAGCTGTCCTTGAAAAAGGGCAGTTTGTGTCAGAGCTCTCTCAGCCCCACCCACCTCACAGGGTGTCTGTTGTGGGGAGGGGAAGGGAAAGGAGTTTGTAAGTTGCTCTGAGACACCTTCAGGTTGTGAAGGGCAGGGTATAAATCCAATCTCTTCTTCTTCTTCTTCTAAAATAAAAACATGCTTAAAACATTAGCACTCTTGCAATATTTTATTTAACAGTGTCTGATAACTGGCACCTCTTGCTCTGAATTATTGCATCAAAATGTCTGTGCTGTTGCAGTCTTGAGTAGGCTGTTCAGGTGTGTATCTGTAAGCTGCAAACCTACTATGACGCAGCAGCAGCAGAACTGGATGGAGAAGCAGAAGACAGCCAGTTCCACTGCAGGCCTGATAGAAGCCCTGCGGGGGCCTCATCCAGCCCCCGGGCCGCTTGTTTGACACCCCTGACCTAGAAGGAGGAGGAGGAGGAGATGATGATTTGTACCCCGCTCTTCACTACCTGAAGGAGTCTCAGAGCGGCTTACAATCTCTTCCCTTCCTCTCCCCACAACAGACACCCTGTGAGGTAGGTGGGGCTGAGAGAGCTCTGCCTTCATGTGGAGAAGTGGGGAATCAGACCTGGTTCTCCAGATTAGAGTCTGCCAATCTTAACCAAACTGGCTCTCTGGCCATTTAGCGTCAGAAAGGTGGGAACCTGCAGTTTGAATGGTGACTGGAAGTGACTCTGCACTCAGGAATATTCTTTTAGCAATCCACTGGGACAGGAATGACTGCTGCTGCTGCTGCTTCCGCTGCTGCCACTTTTTTAGGGAAAAAAGAGGCAACAAGCCCCCTTTTTTGAGGGGGAAAAAGGGTAAATGAGCCAACACTGTGTTCCCCACCCTTTCTATTATATGCACACTGGAGGGTTTCTGGTCTTTGAATGGGAAGTTCTGGACTATCTTGCAAAAAGATTAGCGCATGTGTTTATTGGTTGTCTGAATGTTCCGTCATAACAAACAGCATGGCTAAATTTAACTGCTTTTGAGCATTCATTGGTTCTTGGGGTCAGTCCACAGTTCCTAGTATACCAAGTAACAGTTTTGCTGATATCTTTGAAACTGGTCAGTGCCTGACATTCCCAAAATGTTATGAGTTGTTGTTGCATAAAGATTTGTGCCTTACAAGCATAAGCACTGTACACTGATCTTAGGAATCTGCGGGGGGGGGGATCAGTTCTGTTTCAAAAGCTGTGTTTTCCTTATTACATTTGTTTTTTGGTCTCAGCAAGAAAGCTTTGATATTATTTTCACATCTCCTTCTCTCTCCAGAGTCTCCCATTTAAGCCTCTTTTGTTGCAAGATGTGTTCGACTAATGATTGGAAAGTGTTAATGTCAGTTTCCTGACAATTTCTTCTGACCTCACTCACTTCTCTTACCATACTGCTGAGCAAAGAAATCAAATTTGTTTCTTCGTTGTTATTTCCTTTCATTTTTGTGGTTCTTGTTTATTCCAAGAAGCAAAACAATTTTTTTTTAAATTAATGCACCTGTATAGTGCTGAAAGAGTCTTAAGAACAATTATACCTTCTATAACATACATGTGTACATATCCACATACCTTGATTTCTTTTGTCACACTTCTTTTTCTACTCAAAGAGGTTGTACAGGTTTTTTTTAAACAAAAGCCAGTTTTACTGATACAAAAGTGGGATCAAGTATGCGCCACAAGCAGCTGAAATCCCCCTTTTCAGCTTTCTAAAAGACACAATGGTTTGTCTCCCAGTAGATGACCCACCCATTTGATGCAGAATGTTCGGTTTACCAATAATTTGAACCAGGGCTATTTTGGGGCAGGAACGCACAGGAACGGAGTTCCAGCTGGCTCCCAAGTTGGCCACGTCCAACAGGAACTCATTAGCATAATAGGCCACACCCAACAGCAGGAACTCATTAGGATTGGATACATTAGGGGTGTGTGGCCTAGCATGCAAAGGAGTTCCTGCCACAAAAAAGCCCTGGGTTTTGACAACAAACAAGGTAAACAGAATAAGAAGCAAAAGGTGGGTGTGGCTGGATAACCACACTTCTGGTAACATGGGGGTGCGGCCTAATGTGCTAATGAGCTGTGCTGTCAGGGGTGTGGTCCAATATGCTAATGAGTTCCTGCTGTTGGGTGTGGCCTATTATGCTAATGAGTTCCTGCTGGGCTTTTTCTACAAAAAGAGCCCTGATTTGAACAATACATTCATAGGATTTTTGAAGGCCTGGATCTTAATCTTTTTTTGGAGGCCTTAATCTTAAACTTTTCATCTTTGATTTTGCAGGTTCGCCACTACACAAACAGGGTTCTACCTCTTCAGTTGCTGCTGAGAAGCCCCCGGGGTCAAAGGTCACCGAGGTGGGCGATGACTTCCTGGGAGACTTCGTGGTGGGCGAACGTGTCTGGGTGAACGGAGTGAAGCCAGGCGTGATCCAGTATTTGGGAGAGACCCAGTTTGCCCCTGGACAATGGGCAGGGGTAGTTCTGGATGACCCGGTTGGGAAGAATGACGGTTCTGTGGGGGGGGTGCGCTACTTTGAGTGCCAGCCACTGCAGGGGATTTTCACGCGGCCTTCCAAGCTGACCCGCCAGCCCACGACGGAGGGCTCAGGGAGCGACGCTCACTCAGTTGAGTCCCTGACTGCTCAGAACTTGTCTCTCCACTCGGGGACCTCCACGCCGCCTCTCTCCACCCGCGTCATCCCGTTGAGGGAGAGTGTCCTCAACAGCACCATGAAGACAGGGAACGAATCCGGATCAAACCTGTCGGACAGCGGGTCGGTGAAAAAAGGGGACAAAGACTTCCGGCTTGGAGACCGTGTCCTGGTGAGTTCCTTACAAAAGAAATCTTACCACTAGCCACTCTTGAAGTAATAATATCATGAGCAGTGTTCCCTCTAAGCTGAGTTAGTGTGAGCTAGCTCACAGTTTTTTAGCCTCCGGCTCACACATTTTGGTCTTAGCTCAGGAAGGAGGGCTCCAGAGCAAACTAATTTATGCAGTAGCCAAGTCACTCGCTCACAACCTTAATGCCAGTAGCTCACAAAGTAGAATTTTTGCTCACAAGACCCCACAGCTTAGAGGGAGCATTGATCATGAGGTGTTGTCAATGATTTTTTTTTAAAAAAAACAAGAATTTAAGAAGTAGGAAAGTTATGCCTCAATGGGGTTGAGTGGGGGGAGGAAGAATGCGTGACCAGTGTTCCCTCTAAGCTGAGTTAGTGTGAGCTAGCTCATACTTTTTTAGCCTCTGGCTCACACATTTTGGTCTTAGCTCAGGAAGGAGGGCTCCAGAGCAAACTAATTTATGCAGTAGCCAAGTCACTCGCTCACAACCTTAATGCCAGTAGCTCACAAAGTAGAATTTTTGCTCACAAGACCCCACAGCTTAGAGGGAGCATTGATCATGAGGTGTTGTCAATGATTTTTTTTTTAAAAAAACAAGAATTTAAGAAGTAGGAAAGTTATGCCTCAATGGGGTTGAGTGGGGGGAGGAAGAATGCGTGACCAGTGTTCCCTCTAAGCTGAGTTAGTGTGAGCTAGCTCATACTTTTTTAGCCTCTGGCTCACACATTTTTGTCTTAGCTCAGGAAGGAGGGCTCCAGAGCAAACTAATTTATGCAGTAGCCAAGTCACTCGCTCACAACCTTAATGCCAGTAGCTCACAAAGTAGAATTTTTGCTCACAAGACCCCACAGCTTAGAGGGAGCATTGATCATGAGGTGTTGTCAATGATTTTTTTTTAAAAAAAACAAGAATTTAAGAAGTAGGAAAGTTATGCCTCAATGGGGTTGAGTGGGGGGAGGAAGAATGCGTGACCAGTGTTCCCTCTAAGCTGAGTTAGTGTGAGCTAGCTCATACTTTTTTAGCCTCTGGCTCACACATTTTGGTCTTAGCTCAGGAAGGAGGGCTCCAGAGCAAACTAATTTATGCAGTAGCCAAGTCACTCGCTCACAACCTTAATGCCAGTAGCTCACAAAGTAGAATTTTTGCTCACAAGACCCCACAGCTTAGAGGGAGCATTGATCATGAGGTGTTGTCAATGATTTTTTTTTTTAAAAAACAAGAATTTAAGAAGTAGGAAAGTTATGCCTCAATGGGGTTGAGTGGGGGGAGGAAGAATGCGTGACCAGTGTTCCCTCTAAGCTGAGTTAGTGTGAGCTAGCTCACAGGTTTTTAGCCTTCGGCTCACACATTTTTGTCTTCGCTCAGGAAGGATGGCTCCAGAGCAAACTAATTTATGCAGCAGCCAAATCGCTCACTCAGGTCTTTAATGCAAGTAGCTCACAAAGTAGAATTTTTGCTCACAAGACTCCACAGCTTAGAGGGAACATTTATCGTGACCATTACTTTGTTTCATATGAACATATGGCGTCGCTTGGGTCAAGTCAGACCAGTGGGCTTTATGTTGCTGCTCTCTAGGGTCTCAGGTAAAGGAAGCTCCTTTCCAATAATTGCCATGGTCCTTTAATGAGCAAGTCCATGGATTGAACCCTGAGACTTTCTTAATGGAAGAAGCCAGTGAGTCAAAGCCCCTCATTTGGCAGAACTTGGAACTGAAAACAGGGGTCGTTTCAAGTAGGTCGTTGTGCTGGTCTGTAGTCTGGGTCCGGTTCATGATGGATTTCGGTTCGTAATTCGCTTTGTGTCCTATCTGTAGTCCTTATAGTGAAAGGAGCATATTAGTATCTCCACCTTCCATCTGTCGAGGCTGACGGCCACCTCCCTCTTGAAGGCTTGGGCCAGACAGAAAGAAGGTTTCAGACAACCCTGGAGACTTTGTGTCCCAGCTGACAGAAACAATCCTACCCCTGGTGGCTTGCAAATTCGATACCACCTGGCAAAGACATTCGGTGCAACTGTAATAACATTTCAGCTGTTGTGTCCCCTGAACAGGGACAAAGTCCTGCCAGTGTTCCGACCAACTG